CTTTTATAAAAGTTATTTATAATAGTATTTTTATAGTAGTAAATAAATTTATAAAGTAAATATATTTTTTATTATATAAAAAATTATATAATATAAAAAATTTTATATATATATATATTAAAATAATAGTAGTTAACTATAGTTTACTAAAAGAAATTATCTTAAATAAAGAATATATATTTACCTTTAAATTTTAATAAAAATTTATAATAAAACTTAAGGTTAATTATAAATTTAATATTACTTACTACCTATAGATAAATAAATAAATAAAAAAAATAAATTAAGTTATTAAGTAATATTTATAATATTATATTAACTTTAAATAAAATAATTAAGCTAAAAAACTACCTTTTATTTAACTTTATTATAATAATATAAAATTTAAATTTATTAAATTAATATTATTTTATATACTTTATAAATATATATTTTTAATATATAAACCCCCTTTTAAAAGACTAAACATTAATAAAATATAAATATAAATAAAACTTATAATTAATTTATATAAAAAATTATATATTTAACTTAAATTTATATAAAACTATATAAAATACTATATAAACTAAAATAAAATTAAAAAACTAACCTTTTAAAAAAGAAATATAGTTTATTTAATTTAATATTTATAAAGCTATAAAATACTAAATATTAAAATAAACTAATTAAATAATAAATTAAACTTTAGGAAAATTAAATTATTTAAGATTTTAAAAAAAATTAAAAAAGTTAACTATAAACTTAAAATATTTAAAAATATAAAATTAAAATATTTAATATTTTATATATTATTATTAAAAAAAATATAAATTAATAAAAAAATTAAAAAATTAATTTTAAATAAAATTATAATATTAAAAAAAAAAAAAATATAAAAGAAATATTTATTATATATTAAAACCTAAAATATAATAATAAAATTAAATATTTAGTTAAATAAAAAAGGTATAAATCTACCTATAATATTTAGGAATTTATTAAAAGCTTTAACTTTTAAAAATTAATAAAACAGTTTTATTAAAACCTTAAATTATATTATTAAAAACTGTATTTTAATTAATTATATTAACCCTGCCGACAGTTTATATAGTAATAATTACTTTAGACTTAGCTTTTTAAGCTTTATTAAGCTTATTTAAGCTTTTTAGGTTATAATTAATTATCTTTATACCCTAAAATATTAAAAATTCCTATTAAGTATAAATATAAAATAATTTAGCTAAAGCTTTAAAAGCTTTACGTTAATATTTAATTAATTTTTCTATAGTTTTTTTTTTTTTTAATATATAACTGTTTATATTTAGAAAAAATATAATTTACTATAATAAACATTAGTAAAAAAATAACGCTTACTTAATAAAAAATACTTATATATATTTATAAAAACTTTACTTTTATTATAAGAACGCCTATAATATATATATTTTTTATATTTAAAAATACTATTTATTATTTTATATTAATTACTTATATTATATTTTTTATAAAAAAAATAAACTATAATAAAAAAGCTTAGCTTTTTAATAGTATTTACTAAAGTAAAATATTTATAAGTTTTTTATAATATAGGCTTAAAAATATAACCTAATATAATGTTAGTATAAAAATATAAAAATAGTAAAAAAAAAAGATTATAAATTAAAAAGATTAAGCTAATAGCTGCTTTATATAATTAACTTTAGGGATAAGGTTAATAAAAGGGAGTATTATATTATAACTTAACCTTTTATAAGGCTTAGAAGGTATATACCCTAGAATAAATTACAGACTGATTACCTAATTATAAAGGGATTACTTTTATATAATACCTTTAATAAATTACTACTGTAATCTATTATAATTTAAAAACACTATAATCTATAAGTAATTTAAAGGGAATAATTAAATATATAAGTTTATTTTATAATATTTATTTAAATAGTTTAGTTAACTAGTCGTTAATAAAGTATTAAGACTGAATATAAGTTATGCCTTTTACTTTACTTTTACGCACTTATAATTATAATTATTTAAAAGCTACTCCCTGTCCTCTCTGCTAATATAAACCTACGACCTAGGCTTATTACTTTAGGAACCCTTACCTTATACTAAAAATAAGGGATCAGGACGTCACACTTGGTAAATGATTGCTTTCTATTTCTGAAGTTGGCCGCCTCCTTCAGGCTCTGATAGTCACATAGCAATATCTCCCTTCAAAACTTCAACATATCTCTAAACAGCTCATATTCTTATTTACTAAAGTGAGTAAAACCCAGTTAGGGATCAGAAACATTCAAATTCACTAGCAGGTCTTAATAACAAAGTCAATACTAAAGAGTTTCTCTATAGCAGTAAGTATCGTCACCAGATATCAAAATCCCAAAATAACATTTATATATTTACTTATCCGCGAGTGCAGGTGAATGCCTCGAAAGTTTTTTACAAGTGGCTTTCTTCAGTACTCGACGCATTTAAGAGAAGGTAGCATAATATCTTCGTGACTACAAGACACCCAAGCATTCAAGGGCTGGCTATCCACCACTAACAGAATACTGTGTCCTCCGGGACAGCATATGTAACTCTACCTGCCGGTGTGTTTTGCTATGCTATACTGATAGACAACCAGCTGGCGCCGGAAAGACTGGTTTATCATAAGTAGGCACCTATATAGCTAGGGTTTACACAAAGCGCGCTCCTTAAGCTACTAATACACCCTGCAGACCGTCATTATTAACCCCCTGGAAACGCAGTTCAAACAACATAGCCTTGGCATAGTATATATACATGTATATATATATATATATTATGACTACAACAATACGCTACTCACAGTTCTCACTCTCATTGCAAGCCTCTTTGCACCTACTATTCCTGCAAATCCCAAGGGTCCCTAATAGGCTATTTAAGCTTTATAAACATTACACCACAAGGACCATTCATTTAAATATTAGAGAATATTCCCCAAAATCTTTATTATTTTAGACGGGCTCGACGAGTGTCCTCATCAGAGGTTGGCGATATCCGGGATGAAATTCTAGATTAACTTAAAGGGTTACCGCTCAAAGTCAAGCTGCTGTTTACTTCACGGGATTTTCCAGCCATTACATTAAAGTTTACAGCAGATCAGCGCTTAAGGATTCACGCAAGCAAAAATGTTATCGAGGGCTATCCCTAAGCACACACCAACAGTTCAGGGAACTTAAGTCTTCGTATTCAAAAGGAACCCAGCCTACGCCAGGCCATTATTAAGACAGTTTCACAGAAAGCCGATGGAGAATGTAAGCTTCTTTAAACTAACGTATTCGCTTTTATAATACATTTACGTTAATAAACCCCTTAGATTTTTGCTCGCTCAAATATATGTCGACTTATTAACCACGAAGAATGTTCTCGGAATTATTAAACTTACTTTAAATAACCTTATAGAAGGGTTTAAAGAACGAAATGACTTACGATAAAGTTATCACAAGAATCCAAAATCAAGACGAGGACGATGGTACGATGACCAAACAGATCTTAAACTGGCTCTACTACGTTACCCGACAGTTAACTCTCTAAGAACTTTGCCACAGTTTGGTTATCAACCTAATAGCTCAGGTCAATCCAGCTGCTACAGAGTTAAACACGACCTTTTTACCTAATACAGCAGTTTTAATCTCTGCATATGCAAGTATAGTGGCTAGGATACCGAACGATTTTTACGTCCAGAAATGAAAATCTCAAAGACCTGTCTCATATACCTATCATTCAAACGCAAGGAATTCAAACAGTTTCTACCAGAGGAGGCAGAACATCACCACAGGTCTACATTCCGCCGATATACCGAGGAGCAGTATCTTAACCAGGACACAAACAATTATTACCCACTCTGCCGTTATGCAGCTTAACACTCGGGGGAACATATCAATGGCCAACTCGGACAAATAAGAATCTGGTCATACAGCTGCAAAAAGAGGACACGCAGTGATAGTGCAGCTACTAATTAACAAGAGTGCATGTGTCAATGCAGTGACTGAGATGCATACGAGTACATAACCTCCGGGGCAACGGCCCTGCACAGGGCGACGGAAAACAACTACGAGAAAGTGCTAGAAACTCTGCTCAATAACAACGCGGATATTAATTTACATACGGAGGGCGGCGAGGCGTCACTCCACTGGGCAGCAATAAACGGCCACAGAGAGCCATCGTGCTCCTGTTAAGTAAAGGTGTAAGCTTAAATACATATAACATAGAACGTTTACGTCTGTGTTCACACCACTATGCGACGCAGTCCGGAAGGGACAAGAAGCCAGCACAAAGATTTTAATTAAGAGAGGCGCTAATCTCTTGGCTACTGCTAATGGCAAACATTCTCTACTCTATCTCACCGCTGAGAGCGGAAATAAAGATAGTACAACTGCTTCTAAAAAGGGGTTTCGATATTAATCTTACATATACAACCGGCGAATTATCTCTGTAGGCTGCGGCAAGACCGTATAGTCAAAGGCAGGATAATATCGTAAGACCGTTGCTAAAAAAGGGGGGCAGATGTTTCTAAGAGGACAGGGCTTCGCTAGAGCACTTAGCAGAGTTCCAATACAGTGGTTCACCTACTTCTGGGGAGCGGAGCTGAAGTTGCTGCTCAGAGCGGCGAAGGGAAGACTGCACTATCTATTGCTACCGAAGAATAACATAAAGATGTCTTGCAAACACTTCTCAAAAAGGGGCTGAAGTCGCTACAAAGACAAAAAAAAGAGAGACAGTACTGTATAAAACAGCGTATAACTGCCCCTTCACAATTATACAACTGCTAGTAGAGAGCAGATACTAATGTCGTCAATAACAAAGAAGTAACAGCGCTAAAACTGGCACCTTAGAGTGGCCATCAAGCTGTAGTGCAGCATCTACTGATCACCTTAACGGAGAATTAGGTACTGAAGCTTAGCTGGACAACTAACAGGTCTTTAATGTAGCCAATGCAGGCGATAAGAAGGCAATGCAGCTACTCCTTAATAAAGGGGGCGATATTACGCCAAAGAACAGATTTGGGAATGCAGCGCTACATAAAGCAGACAGTAAAGGCTATATAATAATATACAGGTTTTTGCTTAAGAACAGCGTCAATATCAACGACATTAACAGTAGTCCATTACTAATAGTTACAAACACGTGAAAATTATATATCTTCTTATACAGTATAAAGCAAGTATTAAGCAAGAGGGTTTACAACTATTTATCGCTATTATATTAAGGGACCTTAGGTTTTATTAAATTTATCCTAATGTATTAACTATTTAAAAAAATAAATCATATAACTAAATATTACTAAATATTAGTTTTAGTAAAAACATAAAAGCTTTTGCTTAATTATAGTATTTAATATATTATATTATAAAATATAATATTTTTAATTATAATATTTTTAATTTAAATATAAAATTTAAAAATATATAATTTTATAAAGTTTTTTTTTTAAAAAAATAATAATATAAATTAAATTTTATTTATTTTATATAAGTTTTATAAACTTTATATAATTATTTATATAAACTTAATTAATTTATTTATTTTATATTTTTATATAATTTATAATATAATTAATAAATAATAACTTTATTAAAAAAAACTATAATTTATAATTATAATTTTTATTTTTTTAAAATTAAATTTTTTATAATAAAATATTTTTTAATAATATTATTATTTAAAATATTTTTAAAAATATATATATAAAATAAAAAATAATAAAAAAATTTAATAATTTTTTTTTTAATATTTTATTTAAATTTATTTAATATATAAATTTATTTAAAATTACTATAATATATTTTAAATATATTGTAATTATATAATATATAAAAAATATAAGTAATTTATTATAAAATAGTTAATATATTATATAAAATATATAAAATATATATATATATTAATTTTTATAATAAAATTAATAAAAGAATTTAAATTTAATTTAAAATAAGTTTTTTAAATTAGATTTTTAATTAAAAAATTATTAAATTTAATTATATAAATAATATATATATATATATATATATATTTATTTTAGTTTTATAATATTTTTTATTATTTTTAATTTATTATTAAAAATTATTATATTTAAAAATTAATAAAAAACTTTTAATTAAATTAATTATAATTTAAATAATAAAGTTTAAATATAAAATAATAAACTTTAAATTATAATCTAATAATTTAATTAATATAAAAAAAACTATTTAATTTATTAAATTATAAAAAATAATAATAATTTTATTTAAAAATAAATTTTATATTTTAAATAATTTAATTATTTATTTTTAAGTAAAAGAAATAACTTTTATAAAATTACAATAACTATAAGTAAATTATAATTTATTATAAAATAATTAAATAAATATTTAAATTTATAATTAATAAATAATTAAATTTATAATTAATAAATAATTAAATTTATAATTAATAAATAATTAAATTTATAATTAATAAATAATTAAATTTATAATTAATAAATAATTAAATTTATAATTAATAAATAATTAAATTTATAATCAATAAATAATTAAATTTATAATTAATAAATAATTAAATTTATAATTAAAAACTTTTAAAAAAATTTAAAGTTAAATAAAATTAAATATAAACTAAATTAATTAAAAAATATTAAAAAACTTAACTTAAATAAAGTAATTAAAAAA